TTGATAGTGTTATTACTCCTATGCCAAGAGGAGGGAAGGGAATCCCGGAGAGGCAGGATACCACCAGGCAGCCTGGCTCTGGCTCTTCTGCCCACACCACTGCCTCTGGCTGCCTGAGGGACAGGCTGGTGGCCTTCTGTGAAACAGGGGCCAAGTGCAGGCCCCCGTGCAGCTCCTCCCTGTGGTGTACATTCGGGACAGCCTCGGCTGCTGAGTTTTCCTTCCTAATATGGAAGCACAGATTGTAAACAACAAAGTTAACCTTTTCTCTGTTTACTTATCCGATTTCCCTCAAGATTAAGCACAAGCAAGTACAGTGTAATAGGTGAGCTGTTTAGAGAAGCCCAAAGTATTAGTGATTGGCCTTTAAAGGTTCTGAAGATGCTAGTACAACAGAGACCGAACACCAGATTTTGGAAACAGCTTTAGTTTGTGTTCCAATGCACTGTTCTCTATTTCCTGCCAAGTTGTATGGGAGGGTAGCTATCTCAGGCTTGGTGCTTTCTTCTCAGCATTTGCTGTCTTCAGTTCACCCTCTTTTCTTTGTGGTACTGGTAGAGTGGCGCTCTACCACTGAGCTACATCTCCAGCCCATTGTATTTTCGGACACCGTCTTGCTGAATTGCCCAGGTGAGGCTTGAATCTGCAATCCCTCTGCCCCAACCTCCCAGAGTGCTGGGGGATTGCATGCACAGCTAGTGTGCCCTCTTCTAAAAAGCAGAGACTAATACAAGGGTTTTGTTGCAGATTGATCCCCTCAAAAGATTTCTCCTTTACAGTTGAATTCTAAGTGCAAAAAGCTAAGACCTTGGAACCAAGTATAAAGAATCATATTTAATATAACAATAAGCACACTCTCCACAGACTGATTCTCAGTTGAATGTCTGAAATATGTTCAGATAGGGTGATTTAGAAATAGCAAGTAAGGGGCAGGTTTTTGCCTAACTTAGACCCGAGATGTCTGAAAAATCCTATAAATGAAAATACTGGCACAATTATAATGTAACAGTTTATCAGATGATACAAGATATTCTGTCCAATGCTTTGTTGTTCCTTGAAATTCCTTTGAGAGTGAAGGCAAACGGTATCCGTGGATAGGGAGGAGCAAGAGCTTTGGGTTCAGTGGACCTGCCTTGAAATCTCACCTCTGCCACTTAATTGCATCAACTCTCCTCAAGGGTGTTTGAGGAGGCCTACGTTCCCTTCACCTGGTTCTTTTTTTTTTGGTTTGGGGGATCAAACTCGGGACCTTGCCCTTGCAAGGCAGGCGGCAGCACCACTGAGCTAAATCCTCGGCCCCCTTCACCTGGTTATTGTGAAGACAAATATATGAGGCGGGGGGAGCATTACCAGGGTATCTGGCCACCAGCGAGGGCTCAACAAATGGCGGCCCTGTTCTCATTATACCAAATGTATCTTTACATAGTGTTTTGTTAGACTGTAAGAGTCTCCCTCTAAACCTGTAGTTGGTGGAAACATTCCCTTTGACTCCAGCCCATCTTTCTTCCTTGGACCTCTCTCCATCACCACCATGTCCGTCCTATTGATTCTCACTAAGTCATTAAATCCACCCTCTTATGCCACATGTAGCGTTCACCTTGCAGTTACACACTGCTCTGACCCTCACTTTCTTAGTCCATCTTCTGCTCCAACACAAATGTGCCCTGTGAGCAGAAACCAGCCTGAATGACTCTAAACTTCTCTTCTCTTCAGTAAGTGGCTGTGAAAATAGTATCTCTCTCATGTTAATACATATTAAGTACGTTAAAAGCATCGGCCACTAATCATTGCTTATGTTCTCCAGTCTTGAAAACTCAGACATTTAGCTCAGAAAGAATACATTCCAGGTGGACACTTTCTTATTATACGAGGAACTTTGCAGATAAAAACTGAGCAGATCAAGCCCATGATGCTATTCTAAATTGCTTAGCCTTCTGTTGGTTACATTCATTTTATAATCATCTGGCTCATGTTGAGACAACTTAATAGAAAAGCTGGATGAGAAGAGAATGATTAGGACTTCTAATTAGTTATTATACCCATCGTAATACAGAGAAAATGATTTACGACCTCAGCTTTTACCTTGAGACAAATGATGTGTCACCTGGGTAGCTGACAGGGGCGGGGGGAGCACAGCATACATCTGTGTGCATCTGCCTATCTGGTGTTTTCCTGACATTATTGGAGGCGCCTGGAAACCCAGAGGGTGTGGCTAGACTCCCTTGGGAGTAAAGATGCAAACTGCAGAGACTAGTGAGTCACATACTTCATGGTTATCTGTAGTGAGCTCTTCTGGAGTTGTGCTGCATCTAGCCGTGGGGTTAGCAGGCATATGCGACATCAGCTTGGATATTACAACGGAGCTCTTTTTAGGGAAAAAATAATAAATTGTGAGCCTGAACACATTTCTTTCAATGATTTGAAGGAGGCTAAGACCTTTACATTGCCATGAATCATTAAAGTCTTTTGTCTTATGGCAAAGTAGATAAAGCTGACTGTTCAGAGCTAGGGCCGTACAGCACCATCCATTTATTAGGAATCATAAATTCTACACTATCCCTTTAGGATAAATGTTGTGCTCTCTCTGCTATACCACTGTGTCACTCTGCCTGAATAAAGAGAATTGCTGTGGTCTGTATACTCCAGGCAGTGCTGGCGAACTGATGGCACACATCCCACAGCAGGCTGTTATCACTGAAAGCTCTAAAAGGTTCACCACCACTACCCTGGGTGCAAATGGGCTCAGGCTCTGTCCCAAGCTCCATGTGCAAAGATTATCTTTCGGCCAGTCTTTCAGAGGCTCCTCATCAACTTGTACATACTGAACTCTTCCTCAGCTTAACTTTGCCTTTCATTGTCATTTGATCACTATTGCGGAATTTGCTTACTGCTAAACATTTTATGTGAAGTGATCAGATAAATTTGGAAATTGTTCTTGAACTGTGCATTCTGCCAAATATTCTGTGGCAAACATTCTGGCTCTGCTTAGTTTGTTAATGCTGGTTTGTTAATGTTACGTCACGGGAGGTATAGATTTCTTGGGCATACAAATTGATTGCATATTCATGAATATCTTCAATCCTGAAATATTTGTAAATAACTTGGCAATTTTTTTCATAAGGTTGCCTGTTAAGAGTTATCAGGACTTGAATTGTTCACATAGACCAAATTTGTGCATACACAGCACCACCTATATAATAAGTAGTATTTCTATGCTAAGAAACTTAGATTGTGGACATGTAAATCACCTGTCTTAAAGTATGAGAAATGCTATTTTTCACCTAAGAAGGGTTTGAGTTTGACAATGTCAATAGATGCAAAACGCCACCCTAGAGCTTTGCTCTCTAGAAAGAAAGCAGAGAAGGAATGACATCGTCAATGTTAACTGTCAGCAGATGAAGAGAAATCAGATTGTCAGGCCTGGATCTATAAAATTCTTGCCAAAGTAGGACCTCATTTACACATACAGATCTTCATACCCTTTGCTAAGAAAAGCATCTGTGGCAGTTTAGATGTTTGTGCGTTTGCCAAAGATCTTTCACTCTGAATAAAGTAAATGTCATGTCTGTTGTTTATCTCAAATTCAGCAGAGTATTTTAAAAAGGAAATACTTGCAGGGACGGTTAAGGGAGGAGGAGTCCAGGTTGGGGCACTCCAGTGAGGTGGTTGTAGCTGTTCCGCAGCAGTACTCCTGAATCAGACTGGCTCCACCAATAAGCCTCCCACACATTTCAGGATCCTGAGCTGGAAATGGCCTTTTGAAGTGACACCACTACCATAAATTGGAACGTGGACTCTTCCTACATCTACACCTAGTCTGTCAGCACCAAAAAATCCAAGTTAATTCAGTCTAACTGATTATTTGGCATCATACAGACACAGCTGTCTTTAAGGAAAATTTTGAACACTTAAAGATACATGGCATTGTACCCGGAGCCAGCTGGTACAAGAGCATCTGTGTGCCCTTGTATGATTGTGGAGACTTCACAGAGGACGTAAAACTTAAGTGCTCCAAGTTTAAGTTGAACCCCACTGAAGAGCAACTTTTTAAAAAGTGATGGCAACATTTCATGGAAAATAGACTGGAAATTCAGACTTTTAGTTAAGTGTATGATATAGTATTTTAGGTTGTAAATTGCCATGAATATAAAAAGTAAACTCTCCATGTACCTTTTTTTAGTACAAATTTGCCATAATACTGAACATATTCATTAGAAGGAATTTGTATCTGTATATATTTTTTTTATTTCTTTGCTCTTTCAATCCTCCTTCCCCTCCCCATTTACAAAAGCTTTGTTTCCCTTTTGTTCCTTCCATTCTTTTCTTAATCCCTTTCCCCTTCTTTCCCTTGCCCCTGCCCCCTCCCATGTTCTACTTCCCATTTGATGATGTTCGTATTTCCCAGTACATGTCCTACATTTCCTTATTTACCTTTTCGGTTTGTCACATAAGAGAAAGAGTGTACTGCTTAAATGTGTGTCTGATTAATCACATAAAATTATGGTCTCAGGGTGCATCCATGTACTTTAAAATGTCTCCAGTTTATCCTTCCTTATGGCATAGTACTCCCTTCTGTGTAAATACCATATTTTCCTTATTCATACTTTTTTTTTAAAACCTCTAATATTTAATGTAACTTACAGGCATTCAAGGTACTAATGAGATCATAACGTACAATAACTCCTAACATCTTTCTTTAGGACATCTATTTCAGGTGACACAATGTGCACAATTTCAAAAATCAAATATTTGTCTTGAGTAAGTATGATTTGTTTTATTGGTGTCATTTGCTTTTAGGAAATATTCTATGTGGCTTTGAATATCATTTTATTTCCTCAAGTAACATGGAAGCCATTCCTGTCAAACAATTTGGTAAACACACCAATGATTTACCTTCTAATAATCAGCATGGGTTCTCCAAGGAATATGAAGTATATTTCAAGACTAGAAATTAATTTCTTGAAACCTAAATTTTCCTTCACAGAAATTTTTGTAAACTCAATCTACATTTCTTGTAAGCATAACATAATAATAACTGGAAATTTTTGTTTATTTCAATTGTGAATTTTATAAGCATTCTTTCCTGAGTAGAACCAAGTGAAAGAGTTCATTGTATTTGTAACCAAAGTGTATTTCTATGAAAGAATAGAACTAGTGGTAGAGAAAAGGCCGATGAATGGAGATGATTCTTCAGGATGTTCTTTGTCTTCTGGATGGGATCAGCAGTCAGAAGTCAGAGCTCTCTCGCCCCTTGTGATTTCTGAGCTGCACACAATGGAGCATGGGACACTTGGTCTGGCATCTGAAGAACTGGGTGTTGGCACTGCCAGTAGGACCTTCATGGGCTCAGGTTCAATCATTTCATCTCTGATCCTTCTCAGTTTCCACCTTTTAAAAAATGGCATTTAGGTTAGCCACTCCCTAAAGTTGTTGTAAAAGTGAGTGATAAACTTATATGAAAGTGTTGGGTGAATTTTTAAGAAAGAAAACAAATCATTCATACCTTTTCATAATTATTAATCCTTGGAGGATTAATAACAACATGGGTTAACGCTGCCTTCTGATTTTAAAAGCTGGTGTGTAGGAAACAAGGTGGAGTGTAACACGCACCACCCTGCCAACTCTGGGTCCCGTGCCAGTTCAGCAGTGACAGGGTGGCAAAGAGGAGCTATTAAACAGACTGCCCTTTTCTTCACTGAGGCGCTCAACTAAGGCACAGCTCTGGCACCAAGAGTTGTGCCAAGGAGGCCAAGTTTTCATGGCAGCTCAGCTGTCTTCTAGCTTTGTGGGTAAATCGGTTATTTTCTCTGTCTCATTGCTACTTTAAAATAGAAACCATGAAGCTAACCTGCCTACCTCTTCTCACACAATTGGTTGTGGGATTCAAATGAGGCTATGGAGAAGCCCTTGGGGATCAGGGAGGAGCCATACAGCTGGGAGGTGAAGTTATCCTGCACGAACAATGAAAAATAAGAATAGGATCGAAATCCCGTCTCCATGCAAATTTGGAATCCCCAAAGGCTATCAGGAGGGCAATTATATTGACAACTCATTTTAAATTCTTTCTCTTAGTTCTAGTTGCTTTTGAAGACAACAGAAGTACTGGTGGTAGAGAGAAAGGAAAGGATCCTGGTTTATTCTGCAAAGTCCTGTGTTTTATGGAAGAAAATCATGTTAAGTATTTAACGCTCCTGTTAGATGCTGACCCAAAAGAGGTGCCTATTCACCTACAGAGAGCATGGTTTAAGTCAAGCATTTTGTATTCATGAGGACAGCAAATATGTGTGGTGTTGAAGCGATTTAGTTCATTGACTGTTGGCTGGATGACTGAGCAAGAATACTGAGGCATTTAACAATGTTGCTGGTATTCAGGACAAACATTTATCCTCTAGAGAGAAGAATTTGATCAGGATGATCAAATGCAACTCTGGTTTCTCAATTATTTATGATTTGAGACTCCAGTGCTACTCATCACAGCTGGTTCTGTCGCCATTTAATTATTCATAGTAATCAACTACACCTCTGTAAACTTGATCAGTCTTAAAATAGGCTTTGCTGCATCAAAATCCTGTGAGTGAACAAATCCTGGGCATCTATAGCCTATTTGTATCCTTTAAAGGAATATTCTGGCTAAAAGCTTTAGTCACCTCTTCCCAGCTTTACAGCTTAATATTATTAGCTGATAGTTATGGAGCAGGGTGGGGCCGGCAAGGAGGAAGGAGACACTGTTGTGTCGCCATCTCCGTCTTTCCTGACTTGGCAAATTTAATAGTGAAGCTGTTCACAACAGGAAGAATAGCCTTTCTTTTGAAAAGAACAGTAAAGCAGCAATATAAAAGAGAATAAGACAGTGCAAAAGCTCACCAGTATACTGTCACCTTCTAATTTGGCAAAAACTTGAAGTATTCTAAACACAAACATTCTTTATTGGGAGCTCTGCTAAAATGGAAAAGTGGTAACAGGCCACTAAAGCAACTATTAAGGGTGTTTTATAAACAGAGATAGTAATAGGCTAGATCAGAAAGACCAGAAAAAATCCTGTGTAATGATCAAAGGAATGAAATTAAGCCCTACATTGAGGTAAAATAGTAATGTCAGCCTCATATCCATTTGTGTGTGAAGATGACAGCCTGCCTTTACTTGGCACTGTGTGTGTAATGTGGCACTCCTTCCTCAGAACTGCCCCCTTGGATGGGTGCTATCTCACTCTTGCCATTTTAGGTGAGGAAACTTTATGCAGGAGACAGCTGAGGTGTTCAGGGGCCAAGCTTTCAAATGGCACCAGCAGGGTTCTGACTCAAACCCACATGCCATCCAGACTCTCACTGAAGTAGTGCTGTGCAGTGAACAAGAGTCAGAAAAAATAATCAAGTAACTAAACTGTCTATGCTTTGGCCAAGAAAACCAAAAAAGGAGACCCAAATTAGGAGCTCTCTATGAAAATCCTCAACAGCTCACTAGTGACCTGGAGCTGATCGAAGTACTCATCTGTTGAGGTAGAGAGAAATACCACTCAATACTCAATTATTGGCTATTAAGAGGAGATAAAACAACTCATTTGTCAGGTACGGAGCAGTCCATTTTCTGGACAGGACATTCAGGATAAATTACAGTCCTTGCCCCGAAGATATCCATCTGGCTGGGTGGGGCGAGAGCAGAGGGTACACAACTAAAGTATAAAACAGGCCAAAAAAGGTAATTGGTATAAAGCAGGTATAGCTCTAAATTTCCATGGAGAAAGACATCTAGGAATTCCAATTGGGTATTTCAGTCAGCGTTCTCTTTGTTCCGCCTGGTTTAAGAATCCTGGAAGTAAAAACTGTGGTGATAGGACTGGGGATTTAGCTCAGTGGTTCCACTGCCTGCCTCACAAGCGCAAGGTCCCAAGTTCAATCCCCGGCACCAAAAAGAAAAATTGTGGCGAATAGCTGTCATGTTTTCAGGATTCTGCTGCTTGGGGAATGAGGAAAACAACTCACTGGGAATATTATTTCTTTAAAAATGGTGCTGAAAGTCAGCATTTTATCTTTGTCAGGTACATGGTGGAGAGTGTGAAAATCTGGTCACATCACAGCTTGAAACAACTTTACAGCCACTGGAAATAACATCAGTCCTTGTCTCTGGGTAGTGTTGGTGGCTCCGTTCACTTAGCTACCTGACCTGATTTTATCATCACTGACCTTCCAAGGAAGCAGCATCCCAGAATGTTTTTAACAGATTAGCAGCTTCTCTCCAGGCCCACAGGTATAAGCAAAAGGCTTTGCAAGAAGCATTGTTAAGTAGGCTTTTTCAAAAGGGGAGACCTCCAAAGGTCCATACACCAACAGAACTGAGAAGCAGGTGTTAGAAGAATCAGAACTCTGAAGGTGGGGTACAGAATTGAGGCCAAAGGTCCATATCCCCTTAACAAGACACTTTGGGAGATTCCCCTATTACAGTTAACCATCTGAGTTAGATCTGCCCTGGCTGTTCATCTTAAATCAAGAAAAAAGGCTTTGTCCACCTGACCCCATGCTCTGAGGCAACAGTGGCCACAATCACTATCACATCCAGGGAAATCTCTGGGGGAAGATGTATTGTTGCCCAAAGACTGCTGCCTGCAAGAAGGCAGAGATCAAACCACAGCATTTCCTGATCCTCTGTGACATGATCCCAGTTCAGTCTTGAATATCTTAAAAATATTTTAAACCCTTATTAAAGAGAAAATTATAGTTGTTGAAGTTGAGGCTTTTATGAAGGGGGGGAGAGGTGAGTGAGCTAAATTTTACATACTACATGTTATGTTACAGACCAGCTGCAAGACAATGGTGCTACATTGGACTCTCCAAAGATGGACTGATTTTTTGAAGGGCAAAGGCAATTGTTGCAGATAAAGATAGATGGAGTTGACAGGGGAAGAGAACAACAGTGAAAGACAATAAAGTATAGAGCATAAAATCCGCAGTCCTTCCAAAGGCACAGAATGAAAACTGAGACCGGAAAGGATGTGCATAGAAGATGGAATAAGGACTTGAAAGGCTTGAAGGAATCCAGAATCTATCTGGAGGCTTTGGAGTAAGAGACTAACAAAAGTCAGCACCACACTGCAAGTCAGTTTGGAGCATTTTTTGACCTGAGGAGATTATATGAGGTAGAAGATCAGCTGTGTCAGATACTCCACAAGCAGTGGCAAGTCGTGACCTAGCCGTATCAGTCTTGTGTAAGGTGGACCCCTTCACGCAAGTGTAGGCTGCGTGAACGGTAGAAATACTTGATCTAATGCTGGGTCACCAGGTCCAGAATATTTCTTCCACTCATTCTGCTGACTAATCTGAAAGATTGCTAGCTATGCTTTTGTTCAGTTGTTTTGTTTTTGAATGGGGTCACAGATTGATAGGACAGAAGGTCTTCAAGGACAGTAGGTCTTCGTGTGCTCTTTAGAGACCCTCTCACATCAGTGACTCCTGATAGGAGGTGACTCACTTATTTCATCTCTCAAGAATTTTGGCCGTATCAAATATTAGTTTTTGATCTTTGTTGTAAAATTTGTTTCCACTGGCTGCTCCTATGGCTGTATGACTGTTAATATCTAGAATATTCATTTTGAGGATTCAAGGCTTGTTATATAAACAATAAAGATTATAAGCTTAATCTTGAAATTTTTGTCAGTGCTGAACAGGTAACTTTACTATGCACACTGTCAGGACCAGTGTCACTTTAAAGGGTTTTAACATGTATTAAAATCACATTAACAGCTGTTGCTGCTGCTTGCTGCTTCACTATCTCCTGCTTTCTTGCCATGGAATATTTCTCCTCTGCGATGCCACCCTTCCTTAGAACCAGCTAACTATGGACTGAAACCTCTACAAACTGTGAGATGAAATAACCCTTTCCTCCTTTACCTTTGGGTGTCAAATATTTTGTCACAGCAACAAGAAAAGTAAGACAGATTTTGGTACCAAGAGTAAGGTCCTTGCTGTGACTGTACCTGACCATGTGGTTCAAGGGCCTTTGAAACTGGCCTGCAGGAAGAGTTTGGAAGAGTATGGAGAGGGTAGCTGAAGAAGCATCCCTGGAATGTTGTAAACTGAACTTCGTGGGAGGTTCTGATCAGACTCCAGAAGAAAAGAATGCTGACAGAAATGCAGCAGTAAAGACCATGCTTAGGAGGTTTCAGTTAGGAAAAAGGACAGCAGCGACTATTGGACTCCAGATCATATGTGTTATGCGTTGGCAGAAAATTTGTCTCCATTTTGCTCGTGTCCAGAGACTTTGCCTGAGACTGAGATTAAGGGCTGTGTACTAAGTAATCTAGTGGAAGAAATTTCAAAACAGTCTAATGTTGAGCCGGTAGCATAGCTACTGTTGGGGGCTTTTAGCCAGATCTGTGTTGAGAATCAAGAGAAAACAGCCCAATGAAATGATTTGAAAAGTTTTGAGTTTGGGCAGAAAGAAAGATCCAATAAAGTTATGACCTGCATAGATGGAGCAGAGGAGAACTTGGTTGCTTAAAAGGAGCAGAACAATAGAAAAATGATCTGAGGATATCACAAAGAGCAGCGGACTCCAGACTTTTCAGCCTCAAAATTGCAAAGGTGAAAGACTTTGCTTTACAAAGACAGCTCCAGAGCACTGTGTTCCAAAATGGTGGCAACTTAGAGAATTTGATCCTCAAGATTGGTTTCACAGCACTCAGCAATCCAGACACTCAACCCCTACAGCCCACAAAGACAGAAGGCTGGCTACTGTTCCAGCTGGCAGCAGAGCTTGGCATCATCCACATGGTGCTAGTGTTAGGTGCATTGAGAATACAAGAGTTGTGGGGTCAGGAAGTCTTCCAAGAAGGCCTGGGAGGCCAGGCAGTGTGCCCCTGAGAGGGCAGTGTGTGAAGCTGAAAGTCCGATGGAGACCCCAGAAGGTTGGAGAAACCAGGAATGTGGATTGTCTGAGGAAAGTCACAAGGAATGAGCAAAGCCAGCTCTAGGGAGAAACCATGGGAACTACAATCACTAGAAATGCCATGAAGGCAGAGCCACCCAAGCCCTTTGGAATTCACATTTTGCCACAGATTGCACCAGATGCTGGACATAGAACTACAGAATTTAATGTTTGCCATGCTGCATTTGGTCTAGCTTTTTCCCATTCCTTTCTGTCCCCTATTTGTACCTTTTGGAGTGGAAATGTTTATCTTGTACCATTGAATGTTGGAAGTGTTTAACTTTCATTTGTACAGGAGCTCATAGCTAAGAGTTTGCCTTAAATCTCAGAGGAGAATTTGGACTTGAACTTTTCAGCAGTGCTGAAAGTGTTAGAATTTTGGCAACTCTTAGAGATGGACTAAATGGCTTTTGCATAAAATAATGTGCATAAGTCTTTTGGGGACCAGGGATGGAATGTTATGGCTAGTATGTAAATGTCCCCCCAGAGCCTCATATGGTCATACGTAGGGAGCGTGGAAGGTGGCTGGATTAGGGTGTATAAATATGGTGGGTTAAGGGTGTGATACTGGTATTAAGGGTGTGGATAATAAAGAAACCCTGGGTGTGGGTTGCGCCAATCAATAGCTTGTAGCTTAGATAGAACATAAAGGGATAGAAAGAAAGCGGGCTTTCTGCTGCTGCTTGCTGCTTTGCTGTCTCTTGCCTGCTTGCCATGGACTATTTCTCCTCTGTGATGCCCCTTTTCCATGCCACCCTGCTGTAGAGCCAGCTAACTATGGTCTGAAGTCTCTACAAGCCGTGAGCTGAAATAATCCTTTCCCCCTTTAAATTTGGGTGCCAGGTATCATGTCTCAGAAACGGAAAGTAACTAAGATGCTTGCTTAGGTTAATTGCTAAGTATTTCATTTTCTTTTATGCTACTGTGAAAAGTATTATTTCCCTAAGTTCCTTCGCTGTAAATTTATTATTGGTGTACAAAAACACTTGATTTTTTGAATGCTGCTACACTACTGAATTTGGTTATTACTTCTAGGAGTCTTTCAGTGGAGTTTTTGGGGTCTTCTATGTAAAGGATCATGTCATCTGTAAATAATAATTTAATTTATTCATTGCTTATCTATATCCCTTTTATTCTCTTGTCTAAATGTACTAGCTAATGTTTCAAGAACTACATTGAACAGAAGTGGTGACAGTGGACATCCTTGTCTTGTTCCTGATTTTTACAGGCAAACAGCTTTCATTTTCTCTCCATTTAGTATCATGTTGGCCGTTGGTTTGTCATGGATGGCTTTTATCAGGTTGAGATAAAGACCTTCTATTCCTATTTTCTTCAGGGTTTTTTTTAATCATGAATGGATGTTGGATTTTGTCAAATGCTTTTTCTGCATCTACTAGAATGATCATCTGGCTTTTATCATTGCTTTTATTTATGTGGTGAATTACATTTATTGATTTACATATGCTGAACCATCCCTGCATCCCTATTTGCTGCATTCTATTTGCCAGTATCTTATTGAGGATTTTTGCATCTATGTTCATTAAGGTGACTAGCCTGTAGTTCTCTCTTTTGGTTAGGTCCTTTTCTGATACTGTATTGGAATCAAGGTAATGCTTGCTTCCAGGAATGACTTTGGGAGTACTGCTTCCCTTTCAATTTCATTAAAGAGTTTGGAGAATATTGGCATTACATCTTTTCTGAAGTTCTTGTAGAAGTGGGCAGTGAATCTGTTGGCACCTGAACTTTTCTTAGTTGATAAGAGTTTTTGTTTTTAATTACTTCCTCAATTTCACTGACTGATATTGGATTATTCAGGATTTTTATATCTTCTTTGTTCAGATTGGTAGTTCACAGGAATCTAGGAATCTACCCATTTCTCCTAAATTTTCCAGTTTAGTACAATACAGGTTCTCAAAGCAGTTAACAATGATCTTCCAGATTTCAACAGAATCCACTGTGTGTTTGCCTTTTTTATTTCTAATTGCATGGATCTGAGTCTTTTCTTTACGTACTTTGGTAAGCTGAGCTAAGTTTTGTTTATTTATTTATTTATTTTTGAGACAGGGTCTTGTTATGCAGTTCAGGATACAGTTCATTATGTAGTCCAGGCTGTCCTCTAGCTCACAGTGATCCTCCCACCTCAGGCTCTTAACTGGTGAGATTACAGACACATGCCACTATGCCTGATTATTTTATTCTTTCAAAGGTCCAACTCTTTGATTCATTGATTCTTTGTGTTTGTTAACCTGAATTTTATTAATTTCTTCTCTGATCTTTATAAATTCCTTCCTCGTATTAGCTTTGGATTTGAATTGTTCTTGATTCTCTAGGACCATAATGTTCATTAGGTTATTTATTTGAGCTTACTCTGTTTTTCTTATGTGAGAATTCACCACTATAAATTTCCTTCTTAGGACTGCTTTTATTGTGTCTCATACGTGCCAGTATGTTGTAATGGCATTACCATTTGATTGTAGGAGCTGTCCAATTTCTTTTTTCATTTCATCCATGACCCATTGACTATTCAAGAAGGTATTATTTAATTTCCACTTGTTTGCATAGGTTCTGTGGTATCTTTTGCTGTTGATTTCTAGACTCTTTAATAAGTGGTGCTTCCAAAAATAAATAAATAAATAAAATCACATTAACTTTGAAATGCCAGTTATGATGGAGAAAAGTCACTCCAGGCTCAGATGATATTATCAGCATCTAAATGAGCCAAGCAGTACTGAAAGGAATTACAGGTGACATTATTATCCAGAAGACAAAATCAGAAGGCTTTAGGCAAACCCTATGAGTTCTAATAAAATCAGATTTAGCATTATTTGTGACTATCCTTTGTTTTCTGTCATTCATGTAATGAAAAAGTGAAATAGGGCTGGGGATTTAGCTCAGTGGTTTCGCTGCCTGCTGCACAAATGCAAGGACCTGAGTTTGATCCCCGGTACAAAAAAAAAGAAAAAGTGTAATAGAGGCAAAGGATCAGACCAAGGGTTTTAGATAACAAGAGTCTGATTGGCCACACTGAATGACTGCTTTAAACAGCAAAGACAGCTGCTCCCATCCAGTCCTGGTCAATTGCATTATATTATAATAGAGGGCCAACTTCTGTCCCTAGCTAGGGTGGTCAGACCCACACAACAGGGGAAAACAATCAGTAACCAAAATGAATCTCAGACTAAAACACCAGAAGCTAAAATCACTCGGGACATCTCAACAACTCCTCCCTGAAGAGGTACATGCCAAAGGTATTGTTACGGAAATCTCGGAAAGAAATACACAGAGACACAGAATTTGAATAATAAAATTTCTTCTCTCAAGTGGACTGGAATGCCAGAAACCAGTCTGGTCAATATCCTCACCCCCTTTGTTCAGCATTTCCCTTTTTATATCCTTTTTAGCCATTATCTCATCCCTAGTGTTCTTTGATATGTAAATACAATTCCAGTTCATATTTACAAGTCACAGACACAAGATAGGCCATATACATTGTAAATTCACCCTGGCACAGTAA